AAAAGAAAAGAGATAGTGCGAGTCAAATCTCATGTTGCGGATCAGCATCTGTAAGCCCATGGAGGCAGGATGCTGGATTAGAACCCAACATGTGAGATAGCCATGTATATGTGACTTTTGAAATTTAACCCAATTATTCAAATATGCAGTTAGCATTCAAAAAATATGCTGTCAGTGTTCACTTGAATTTACCTGTACTTTCGTTTGTCTTTATTTCTTTTACTCTTACAATGTTTATTGGTATGACTTCTGTTTAGATTACATCTAGATTCTAGAAGACATGAAATGATTAGTGTTTTGCCAAGTCAGTAGGTGCTTTATTATTTCTCAGGGCTATATCTTTTACTATCTGGCATAAAATATTTATGTAATTTTTGGATTTATAATATGTATTGTTTTTCTATTTCTTAATCTCTCCATTTTTGTTCTTTGTTACGCTTCCCCCTTCTTGAGCTGTAAAATAAATTTTAATCTTTTTGACTGGGTTTGTAATGATCTTGATTCATTAGTATTTGATTTGGTTTATAGGCCTTGGACCAGGTTGAGGAAGAGGTCAATGCCCTGGCTGAATGTTGTGATAAGTATGCTTCCTCTATTGCTTTGTCTAATATGAATACAATATACATACGATAAATTATTTTGTTTTCTGAATTTTTATTTCTAGTTGATGAGTTGTTTATAAGATTACGTCTATATTGTACACTATCATGTACATCTAGGATGTGCAAGTATGCTTCCTCTTGTCCTATTTATATATATATAACTTTTTCTTTCGCTGTGTTATTTTCTAATGATTAGTTGTTTATCAATAAGTGAGCCAGCTGATTATTTTTGGCAATGACTTCAGCAGAGGTTGAATTCATAATTGATAGATAAAGATGATGTTGCTTTGTACTAATGCTAATTTTACTGTATACTACTGGGCTACCCATGCCATCAATAATTTTGTTTTGATGAATTTTATTTGATGTATCTTCATTTACAGGTTTTTTACTACTTTGCTTTGTTTTCATTCATTCTTATAAAATTGAAATTTTGAACACTTGTTCCATAATATTGGTGACCCTTACTTAAATGAGTTCAAATAGCTGGATGCCCGCTAGCATCACATTGGCTACATACGAAGGATAATAAGTTTATTAAATATTAGATTACATTATAAGTATATATGGATATATCGAATGTTCACACAACCTGCCTTTTATTGCTGTAGGATTGCAAAAGCTTTAAATAACTGTAATGCTACCACTGGTGACATTATTAGTACCACAGAGAGGCTTAAACAAGAGCTTGAAAACACCACACAAAGACAAGAGATAGCATCATTCTTTCTTCGTGATTATCAGCTTTCAAATGATGAGGTTTGCCTGATTATCCAACTGATGTCTACCATTGCCTGGTCATTGTAATTCTTAATTATGTCTAACCATCTAAGTTTCTGGCTTTGCTGTTTGATCCTGCAGATAAATGCCCTCCGTGAGGAAGAGCTGAGTGAAAACTTTTTCAAGGCACTTGCTCATGTACATGAAATTCATGCCAACTGCAAATTATTGCTAAGGACACACCACCAGGTTCTTCAGCTTCCGCACAGAAATCCTTTACAGACTCGCTTGTATTTGTGTTTACACAATTCGTTCCACCCTTAGAATATAGGCCCCATTTGATTTTTTGTTGTATCCTGCCTAGATCCATGTGAACTTTCTTTTTTGAAAGTAGTGCACCATAGAAGGAAACTTATTATGGCTCATCAATTTAACTAAGTTTAAGAGCAATTCTGAAAATGATTATCATTTCACTGAATCCTTGTTTTGAGACGTCTCAAAAAGATTATGGAACAATCCTAGTGGAGTACTTTTATAGTGATTGTTTGTTTTCCCTCCCCCTAGTGTGTATAGCTAACCCTGGCTTTGTTCCCGAATAAACATCTTTCTGTATTGTTCTTAATTCATTTGATGACTCTTTGCAGCGAGCTGGTTTAGAGCTTATGGACATGATGGCTGTCTACCAAGAAGGTGCCTATGAACGCTTATGCAGGTGATTCTCTTCTATATGATAGTTGATGTATGGCCTGAAGAAATACACTAGCATCGTTTCTAACTTGACATATGCTAAAACATGCAGACATGCATTGAAGAATAGATTTGACACAATCATATTCTTGATGAGCAATTTTTTTCTTAATAAATGGTGGAAGCTTCTCCTGGTGCAAGGAGAAGAGTAAGATAAATAGTACCGAGCTATGATACTTTTTAGTATTGTATGGTCTCCTAGCAAATAATTCATTATGCATACATCTTGCTTCTAGATTTTTCAGGCAATTTTATGTTATAACAGGATCAGGATGAGTATAATACAGAAATTTTTCTGCAGGCATGAAAAAGTTGTATTCTTTTTTATTTAATGTTTGTATTTTTTCTTTTTTATTTGTTGTTACAATTGAGGTTCTATAATATGTGATCCTATCATTTTTCCTAGGTGGGTCCAAGCTGAGTGTCGAAGACTTGGAGATTTTGACAACCCTGAAGTTAATGAGCTGTTAAGAACTGCCGTCCGTTGTCTTAAAGCAAGGCCGGTCCTTTTCAAGTACTGTGCAGAAGAGGTATTCATGCAATAAAATTATATCATTGCTGAATGCCGTTAGGAGTACATTTTCTTTAATTGCTTCCCTACAAATACTTTTTCTAACTTACAGGTTGCAAACATGAGACATAATGCACTGTTCAGAAGATTCATTAGTGCTCTCACACGTGGAGGACCTGGTGGACTGCCTAGGCCAATTGAGGTTCATGCTCATGACCCTTTAAGATATGTGGGTGATATGCTGGGATGGCTGCATCAGGTATGTCTTCATTTACTTCTTTTCATCTCTTTTCCTGTCACAGTTGTGGTTTTGTGTTTCTGACTTGGGGACTGTATTCCCGATTCATGGTTTTCTTACAGGCCTTGGCATCTGAAAGAGAACTTGTCCTTGCATTGCTTGATCCTGATTCGGTGGCAGATACTGGACCAATTGCACAAAGATTCTCCAAAATCCCGGAGTCTGATTCTGGGAAGGCAGACTCAGACTTAACTTTTGTTCTCGACAGGATTTTTGAAGGGGTTTGTAGGCCATTTAAAGTGAGAGTTGAACAAGTTTTGCAGTCACAGCCAAGTCTTATAATCTCATATAAGCTTACTATTACCCTTGAGTTTTACAGCCACACTGTGAGTCAACTCTTTACCAAACATTAAATTATGTTAATTTAGTGAAATGGCCATCATTTTGTATTTTCCAATTTGATTTTTGGCCATTTTCCGAACAGACACGATTTTAGCAATTTTGACTTAACATAGGACAATTATACCTTTGTGAGCTACTTGCATCATTAACATTTTGACTGCGTACTAGACATTTATTTTCCGACCAAACATATTTTCCCGAAACCAAGAAACAATTTCTGGCGAGCAGGGAATTTATTTCTGGAATCTAAGGAACATGTTCAGTCTGGAATCACATTTGTTCGAATTAAGAAATTCACGGCACTAAAAAATGGACATGTATAACTCAAAATGGCCAAAAACCTGTATTTTGAAAAGATAACTATTAACACATTTTTGAAGAGATGAATGGCCAAAAAACTGCCAGACTGTTCAACTCACTAGTGTCTTCCCCTTTATTGTTTTCTTTTGTTCATTGGATTCAACTTGTTAACCTCAGATTTCAGATCTGCTGGGAAGGGAAACGGCTCTGTGTAATACACTTTGGGCTCTCAAGGATGCTGCCCAAAAAACATTCTTCGACATCGTAAAAGCTAGAGGAGAGAAGCTGTTGAGATACCCTCCGTTAGTTGCTGTCGATCTTTCTCCACCTCCAGCACTGAGGGAAGGAGTCTCTGTGCTGCTTGAATTAATTGAGACGTATGACAGTATGATGGTTCCCGTGTCAGGCGAGAAGCCTGCATTTGAACCCGTCATTTCTGCTTTGTTGGATCCTATTATTCAGGTGTGTTATCGAAACAATTCATGACATGCCCGTTTGTTCCACAATTGAAAGAGGAATAATTTCTCTGCCTGGCTGTTTACTTGGTTTGATATCCACAAGTTTCACGTTGCATTACTCACTAACACTTAGTTTTTTTCTGATTCAATTGATTTTAGTTCGTACTCTGTCATATATACTTCTGTCCAGATTAATATTTAGGTTTCACCGATTGCCATTTTATAATCATGATCCGCATTGATAGATGTGCGAGCAAGCAGCAGAGGCGCACAAGTCGAAGGGAGCAATCCAGTCATCGAGAAGGAATCGAGTAGGTTCAGACCCGGCTCAACTCCGCAGATCGTCTATAGATGCCATTTTGGATAATAGCAGCTCTTCATCGTCATTTCAGGTATATATATTTGCCTGCTTCAAATGAAGTGCTCTGCTTCCATTAGAATATGAAGCTTTTAAGTGGTTATTTAACAGCAGATGTTTCAGTCCAGAAATTTTTTTTATTTGAATATTGAAGTAAAAGATGTGTATGAGTTCATTCTCGGCTGTATCTGCATGTGAATGGCAGTGTCGCTAATCAGATTTTTCTACTGTGACGTCCTGTTCTCTTTGATGATATCAATCAATCTTTACTTACGTAGTACTACGGATACCCACCCCCCTTAATTTTGATACGTCGTTTTATGGCTTGTTTAATTAATGTAAGGTCCAGCGTTCTCTGGTAAACACCAAAATTTATGAATTTTTAGCTTACGAGTTTATGAGCTGTGGCTTTTTGGAAGCTTTGAATGATAATAGTTTCTTCTTGAGGTTCCCAGG